CAATGATGGTGCCAACTTGTGCCAGTGAAGCAACGTCCTCCACAACTAGACTGAAGAACAAAAGGACAGCAACTTGTCTGTTTCCCTTCCCCCAACTCCCCAGCGCTGTTCCCATCCCCCAATTCCCCAATTAAAAAAAAAATCTTTAAAAAAAATAAATAAAAACACTGGCAAGTTAATCTTCATCCTCCTTATCCTCCTCTCTTCCTCTTCTCTCTGAGGGAAAAAGATACGCCTTCTCTTCAGGAGCCCTCCACCCCAGTACTAGGTCCCAACAATCTCCTAAGAGTTCAATTCCATAAATGGTTTTCATTATGTATCCTATGTGGTCACTTTGTGACATTTGATATCATTACTGATCTCTTTTGTTTTTTATTAAAGTTTATTTGGGTGACAATTGTTAGCAAAGATACATAGATTTCAGGTGTACAGTTCTGTAATACATCCTCTATATATCATGTTGTGTGTTCACCACCCAGAATCAGTTCTCCTTCCATCACCACATATTTGATCCATTTTACCCTCATCTACCACCCCCTTCTCCCTTTACCCTCTGGTAACCACTAAACTATTGTCTGTGTCTATGAATTTTTGTTTCTTCATTTATTTGTCTTGTTCCTTTGTTGCTTTCAGTTTTATATTCCACAAATCAGTGAAATCATATGGTTCTTGAGTTTCTTTGCCTGACTTATTTCGCTTAGCATAATAATCTCAGGATCCATTCATGTTGTGGCAAATGGCACTATTTAATCTTTTCTTATGGAAGAATAGTATTCCATTGTGTGTATATACCACAATTTCTTTATCCAATCATCTATTGAAGGACACTGGTCGTTTCCATGTCTTGGTCACCATAAATAAAGCTGCAGTGAACATTGGAGCACATATATATTTACGGATAAATGTTTACAGATTTTTGCAGTATATATATATATATATATATATATATATATATATATATATATGTTTTTATTAAGAAATAGTAAAGTGCAGCATTGAAAACTTCAGGTTCTCAACTGAGGCAGTCTGAGTTCAAATCCCAGCTTTACTGTTAAGAAACTGCTCTGACTGACTGCAGGTTACTTTTCTGTGTCCAGATTCCTGATTTAAAAAATGGAGATAATCATAGTACCTATTTGAAGGACAGTATAGAAACTAAACGAATTAATATCCAAGCAGCTAAAGTCTAGGCTATTGCCTAACACACATTAAGCACTTAATACATGTTAGTCTTATTATTATCATCATCTTTTTCTTCACTTTTTTTCTTCTTTCTTTCTTGTGTTCTTTCTTGCTTTTCTTTTTTATTCTTTTGTTTGTTTGGGATCCAATTTTCTCCTTTCCTCTTCTATTAGTTTCATATTTACTAACAAAGGCCTTCCTCTGAGGATTCATGCAAACAAATACCTCCTCTCTAAGGTCATGTTGATGTAACATTTTGAGATGGAGTAAACAGTTGCATTATGGCAGTGGTCATGCTCTGGAATTTGGCTGAACACAGCCCTCTATAGCATGGAATGCAAAATAATGATCTCTAGAATCCCATCCAATTGAGGGGGTGAGGGGATGGGTAGAGCATTTCTAGGATATCATTTGTGTGATGACCCTGAACATGGCACTACTGTAGGCTTCAGGGTAGCTTTTTCATGATCAACATTGTCTGACAGACCCATGTCAGAACCTTGTTTTGAGCTAATCATTTTTTTTTTTTTGTCAGAGAAAGAGGAATACAGACTGGATTTTGGTAGCAAAGGATTTAAACCCTTAAAGTTAGACTTCTCTGGAAATTTGACTGCTACTCCTCCTTCCAATATTTTGGAAAGGATAAAAATGGGAAGGCTACACCCTGGCTCTTATGCAAATGTTTGATTACTTATGGCCAACGTTACAACATAGGCATTCAAAATAGTCTGTCAGTGTGTGTCTGAGTTCACTTTCAGTCATATGAATTTCTGAGCAAAAGTGAGGTAACTGTGTGTGTGTGTGTGTGTGTGTGTGTGTGTGTGTGTGTGTGTGTGTGTTCTAGGGAGAAATCACAAGGACAACTTGAAAATCTGCTTAGACATCTAACCTGAATTTAGAGGAGGAGAAAATCAAAGGTTTATCTGCATGCAAACACTTAATTAAGTAAGTTTGGACAAAGGCTTTTATTTTTTTGTTTTCATTATTGATTTATGCCACAGGCTAAGAATTGGATTTGGTCTGGTCATTAAGAAGCCCTGAAACACTGATTAATACAGCCTAATCCTTTGCACACAGTATTTACTTGGTAACTATTTGATAAATAAATTAATAAGTTAACAAATGAATTCATGCATATGAATGTTGTGCTGTACAATATAGAATTGCCTGGATATTTTCTAGAGGATGATACTTTAGCCAAGGGAATTGAAATGAGAGAAAGTAAGGAAAGATTTGTAGTTGTAAATTTAGAAACTTTAGTTCTGTTACTATTGGCCTAGTGACAAATGAAAACCATATACAATACTACTTT